TGCAAACATTTTTAAAAATAAATAACAATAAACCGTGTTAAATTATTGTATAAGTACAGGGTTTGCGGTTTTTCGACATTCAAAAACTTTCTCCTTGGCATGTATATATATATATATATATAATTATATGATAAAGGCGAAAATTACCAACGCCACCATGATATACAGAAGTGCGCAAAGAATGTGAGAAATGAAGAGAAATTGTATTTTTATGGGTATAAATTTAATTAAAATATTTATCGAGGCATTTCAAAATCTATTTTCGAACCAATCAGTTTTTTATCCAAATCTAAATTTTTATGTATTAATAGAAAATTCATTCCGTATCATTCCGATGATGAATTTTAATTCATTTGAGTGTTGAAATTATTCATTCCAAATCAATTCGTTTTCAAGCCATTCGGTATTATTCGGAATTGAAATAGAATTAAAAAAAACTAAAATTTAGCTTCAAAATAAAACTAATTGATTCTGAGTATGATACCGACGAAAGAATTTTTTATTCAGTTATATGCTTAATACTATATATATACTAGCTGTCGCACCCGTCTTCGACGGCTATAATATTTAGATTTAATAAATTTTGAAATTTATAATTACATCCAACTATACGTGTTCTCCTGTATTAAAATATCTTTTTATAAATTTTTAATTATTATTTATTCAATTCAATTTAATTTTTTCACTGTTTTTAATAAAATTAAAATAATTTAAAATTGTATTTAATTTTATAGTATTGAAAATAAAAATTATTTTAATCAATACAATTTAAATTAAAATTTTAAAAAACTTTAAAATTAATTAATTTTAAAATTAATAATTGCAAATCTGAATATGAAATCAGATATTGTAAAAATAAAAAATCGAAAATTACTTTTTTACTCTTTGAAATTAACAATTATTATATTTAAATTATTATTATTATTATTATTATTATTATTATTATTATTATTATTATTATTATTATAGATACAAATTATTTTTAAATATAATAAAACTAAATAAACTTAAATATAATATAATAAATATAATAAAATTAAATTATTTTCATAATTACATCCAACTATACGTGTTCTCCTGTATTAAAATATCTTTTTATAAATTTTTAATTATTATATTTATTCAATTCAATTTAATTTTTTCACTGCTTTTAATAAAATTAAAATAATTTAAAATTGTATTTAATTTTATAGTATTGAAAATAAAAATTATTTTAATCAATACAATTTAAATTAAAATTTTAAAAAACTTTAAAAATTATTTGAAGAATAAATTTTTAATAGAAATTTTTCTATTATAATAGAATAAATAATAAAAATATTGAATAAATAATAATTAAAAATTTATAAAAAGATATTTTAATACAGGAGAACACGTATAGTTGGATGTAATTATGAAAATAATTTAATTTTATTATATTTATTATATTATATTTAAGTTTATTTAGTTTTATTATATTTAAAAATAATTTGTATCTATAATAATAATAATAATAATAATAATAATTTAAATATAATAATTGTTAATTTCAAAGAGTAAAAAAGTAATTTTCGATTTTTTATTTTTACAATATCTGATTTCATATTCAGATTTGCAATTATTAATTTTAAAATTCTGATAAAATTCTTAAATTAAAATTCTTAAAATTTCTTGTTAAAAGCATACTTAATTGGTCACAAAATTTTAAATAAAGAACGTTTAGTAAAGAATTATCAAAAAATAAAAAATGTTAAATTTTTTAAATTTTTTGAAAGTGTCATATTTTTGTTTAAATTAATATTTTTCATTGGTGTGCAGCTAAGATTGCGTTTAATATCCAACAGACTAAAAACATTATTGTTTTACTTATAAAAAGTTGAACATAACGAATTCTTATATTACAATGTTATTAAAAAAATTGGAAATTCAAAAATTTGATTTAGACTTTTAAATTCAGACTATTTACTTAATTTAATAAAAAAATTGATTGTATTTATGTGAAAAAATTAGGTACAAATAGTTTCAAATCAATCTGACAAAAAATAAAAAATTTGCATTTTTTTGATTTTTTTAAATTTTTTGAAAAAATGTCATAACTTTCGTTCATGTTAATATTTTTTAATCAAATATGGCTAAGATTTTAAGTTACGTTAAGACTGAATACACTGCCAAGTTTCACCTCAATCGGTTGAGCCGTTTTAAAGTTTTGCCGGTACAAAATATTGACGACAGACAGACAGACAGACAGAATTTTTATTTATGGCATATTTGTTATCTTTACTACTTAAAATGATAAACTATGCAAGAAAAAATTAATTTGGAGCAATGTACAGACAAAAGTCTGATTTTATTAATATAGATATACAAAAAAACTGATTGAAAATAAATCCGAAACTTTAAATTTAACTTTCAAAGTTTCGAATTTATTTGCAATCAGTTTTGTTCTTTTTTATAACTTTAATTTTTATATATTTTTTTATATAGTTTTACTTTTTTATAACAAAAGTTAGATTAAAATTTCACCACTTTCTTCAAAAAAAATTCAATAATTTTATTATTTTTAATAGTTTTGCAACTCCTCACGTTTATTGAATTTCTTTTTTCGAGAAAATGGTGAAGTTAGACTAACTTTTGTTATATGACTGTTCGTCTTGATTCTTATTTAAACTAACACGAAAAATAAATAACACATCTCCTATATATACATATATAATAAATGTAAATTTCCAGAACAAGAGAAAATAACAAGATTTCACAGAAAATCCTCGTTTGTATAGTTTCTGCTTTTTATGTCACAATAACTTAGAAAAAGTATATTATATGTATAAAAACCATTAGTTAAGATTCGTCCATAAAATAACAAACACGTGTACCCTCGAAAATTTTCTTTTATTATCATCTCAGCATGCGCGCACATATAGTCATTGGTTTTTCAGCTAAGTGTTACATAACATATATAATTCTTCAAGAAGAAGATGAGGCATCTGGCCTATTGCCTTCTTAGTCAATTTGTGAGATTCACTGATAATTTGTAAGCCAAGGTAATGTGTCTGAGCCAGGTGGTAACCCGACATCGACCACCTTCCAGTCCGTCGTTTTACATTTTATTGTGTCGGTGACGTTTGAAGCGTGCTATTTTCGTTCCTATGGATGAATCTCTGCGGTGCCAGCAAAGATGTTGAATGAAGGTAATGTGGCCAAAGTATATATATATAAGAGAATGCAAGAAAAGGCAAAGTATAGAAGACGATGGAAAGAAGGTAAAAAGTCAATGGCAGAGGGTAAGAAAGAAGCCAACGCTGGTATATACAATTGAGGGGAGAAGCTGTTCAAACGTGACACGCGTGGACCCGGTTGGTTCCATTGTTGCACAAGTCATTCGTACAAATCTAATGCTTTGTTGGGACTCTTGCTTATTGTGTCTTGTGGTAACACCAAAAACAACAATAACATGGTCACACTAACCGTAGATATGTTGTGACGATTGAAGTGGGCGGTTTGTCGTTTATAAGGAAATTTTTCTATGCTCTATATGTAAACTTTTTCATTTTGCTGATTTTTGAGGATGACAACAACTTTTGAACCTTTTTCGCCAAATCAGACACGCGTTCATTCTTCGAGCTTATATAAAAAATACTGCTTCTTTTCCTGCTGTTTCCTTTTTCCGTTTCTCTTCTTCTTCCTCCCGGAAATCCCCACGGGTTTATATTATTAGATCTTTATGTAAACACAAATCCTGCTGGTTGGACACGTGTATATACATGCTTTTCTTATAATTGAAAGAAACGAGAAATGCAATTATTTTCTAATCGCACGAGCCGGATGTTGTGGCACTGAAGAAAAATATATTCTTCATTTTAGAGAAATATTTTATCTCTTCTTTGCGTTGTATATATATATATATATACATATATAATTCAAAATCATCTTTTCCTTTCTTCATGAAAAGCATAATGCTACTTTCTGTATTTAATTTCTCCCTGAAGAGGAAAAAAAAACAGTAATAATTATTTTCGTTTCAAGTTTAATTTCTTCGTGTTATAAATACTATATATGCGTATTTAATATTTATATATAAATATATAGAAGTGTTAAGATTGATTTAGGAGACAGCGAAAAAATATCAAACGTCAGTCAAAAATAATGAGTCTGACTTTTTGTATATCATTTTTTATACAAACACGTTATAGAAGAATTCAGTCTTGATTCATCCACTCGATCTTATTTTCTTTGTTGTGAAGTTTGTCAGCACTGGCAGATGCATGATGGGACACCCCTGCTGGTTTCAAGTATCATATAAGTCTGTTAATTAATTTTATTTACTGTGTGACACGATCTTGGATTGCTTGTCTGCAACTTTGTTACCTCTTCTGAATACTGATGGTGAAAAATGTATAACGTTTAATACAAAGTCAGTAGCCCCCTTAATTAATCAATTAAATCTTAGTGATTTATATATGTTATTTTTCTGAATTAAAAGTAGCAATAGCATATAAAGAACAAGCAACTAAATACAAAAAAACAATCATGCGAAATTCCACGAATTCCATCCATCTTGATTTCTTCTTAAATTTCGTTTTCTCTTTATTATATTTGTATTTCACTTTCCTTGCGATATTTTGCTTTTTTTGTTCACGGAGAGAAGAGGGCGTAGTAAGATCTTACTACCATGTCAGTTCAATCTACTAAACAGAATCATTCATTTTGGTCGGACTAAATAGTTAGTTAAATGATAACTATTCTGTTTAGTAAAATGTTAGGGAGCATTTACATATTTGGTTGTCAAGAACCTGCTCAATTGTGCCCACTTTAGAAAGTATACGTCTATATATACGTATCTCACAGTCAAGGGGTTATTGGAATGAGTTTTATCAATTTTTATTCTACTCAAGAATAATTATAATATAGCAGTAAACAATTTTTTTAGTGAAGTAATTAAATATACTGATATTTTAATTGAAATTTTTATGTATAAATATTCATTCCAATTAATAGAGATTAAAATTCTTTTTTTCTTACAGAGACATTTGGACTTATTTATGTTCAACGTTGAATTACTTTGAAACCTAAAAGACTTATAAAAAAGGAATAGGAAATATTAAGTTTTAACAATTTATTACATAAATTTAAAATAATATTTTAAAAATTAATAAATCAATAGACAAAAAGAGAGCTTAAGGTGAGTTAATTAATTATTTCATCAAAATTAATTATTTATGTTATATTTTCCGACTGTATATTAAATAAATTATCGGTTTGGATTGAGGAATTCAAGTCAATGATAAAATAAGGCGTCAGTTCATTAAACATAGAAATAATATCTGATTTATTTCATAAAAGAGTCCTAAATCTCGCGGAAAAACCACTTAACAAAGTTCACCAATAAAAATTATTTTAAGAAATTATAATTCTAAAGTTTATTAAAAGAGCACCAAAGGATTAATTAATAATTAATACGAGTCGATAATTATAGGCGACTGACACGTTCCTCGCACTCTTGCTCACTGAAGGGTTACTTCTACGAATTCACACAAATTCCGGGAATCTATTACAAGGGTACCGAGATTCAAAAGACGTGCTGCCTATCGTCAGGCGTCACTCATTCATAACGACAATATGTTGATAATTTAAAAAATTTTAAATAATCAACTTTTTTTAAACCCCTTCGCAGTCGAGTAGAAAAATCGTTTGTGGGCTCAAAATGGTCAAAAAAAAAGTTTCCAAAAAAATTTTATATCATATTAAAAGTTTTTGTGGTCGCTGAGTCCGAATTTGAGGTCAGATTTTAAAAATAACCCAATATGGCGGAAAAATTAAAAAATTGATTCGATTCGTTCAACATTCGGTACTTGGAGGTTTTTTAGGTCGCTGAATCCAAATCTGACCTCAAATTTGGATTCAGCGACCCCAAAAGCCCCCGAGTACCGAATTTTGAACGAATCGAATAAATTTTAAATTTTTCCGCCATATTGGGTCCGCTATTTTGAATTTTTTAAATCTGACATCAAATTTAGATTCAGCAACCCCAAAAACCCCCGAGTACCGAATTTTGAACGAATCGAATAAATTTTTAATTTTTCAGCCATATTGGGTCCGCCATTTTTTATTTTTTAAATCTGACCTCAAATTCGGATTTAGCGACCCCAAAAACTCTAAAGGAACCATTTTTATGAAAATCAAGTCAATTTTTAAATTTTTGGACGACATATTGGGTCCGCCATTTTGAATTTTTTAATTCTGACCTCAAATTCGGATTCAGCGAACCCGAAAACCTTAGTGTACACATTGACACTCAATTCTAATTATGTTTAGTATTTTTTTCTAATGTGGACATATATGTCCAAAATCAAAAATCGGACAAGTGCGAGTTACACTCGCACTGAAATCGAGGGTTCCGTACTCGAAGCGAACTTATTTGGTATAAAAACAAATGTTTAAAATATGTGTTGTATGACAACTAATATAAGTGATACAAAAAGGAACAATTTTCTTGAATTTTACAAAATTGTTCCTTTTTGTATCACTTATATTAGTTGTCATACAACACATATTTTTTAAACATTTGTTTTTATACCAAATAAGTTCGCTTCGAGTACGGAACCCTCGATTTCAGTGCGAGTGTAACTCGTACTTGTCCGATTTTATTTTTTAAAAAATATTTTACTAAAAAAATATAAGAAACATAATTTTATTTCAACTCGCAATATTTTTATTGTATTTACATTTTAAAAATATATTGAATATTAAATTTTATCTTTCTAAGTCAAAAAGAGATAAAACTTAAGATATTGATATAAGGCTAGTAGCTGCTTGTCAAGGAAAAATCAAAAGTTATCTAAAAAATAAAATTTGTTTATTAATTCCAGAAAAATCAACTCCAATCATCCTCGCTATATTTTTTTTGTAATCTACACGTAAAAATACGTCAAAATATATAAATTTGAATCACTGTAGAAAAACTTTTTTCGTTTTTTGCGGAAAAATACATTTTTTTCTGAAATTTATCATTTTTCTTCAAAAATTTGATAAAAATTGATCATCAACTCCAATCGCGCTTACATTTTTTCCCTGTATTTTTCACGCAAAAATTGAGTTTTACAGTAAGTATGAACAGTCTGGATTGAATATTGTGTGCGCTAGGGAGAATAAATCATTTTTTTCGAAATTTTTGATTTTTCCTTGACAACGCTATGTAAATTAATCCGAATCAAGTTCGCTATAATTTTCCTGTAATTTTCACGTAAAAATACGTAAGTGTGTCAAATTTGAGCTCTTTATGTCAAAAGATGTGGCCGCTAGGGGGGGTACATACTCATTTTTAGGTATTTTTCGTAAAAATTCATGGTTTTTCCTTGACAACGCTATGATAATCAACTCCAATCATGCTCGCTATATTTTTTTTGTAATCTACACGTAAAAATACGTTAAAATATATAAATTTAATTTCCTTTAAATAAAATTTTGTTCGTTTTTGGTGGAAAAATACATTTTTTTCCTAAAATTGTCATTTTTTCTTGAAAAACTTGATAAAAAGTTAATCATCAACTCTAATCGTGACCGCTTTTTTTCCCCTGTATTTTTCCCGTAAAAATACATTTGTATACTAAATATGATCTGTCTGGGTTGAATATTGTGTGCGCTAGGGAGAATAAATTATTTTTTTCGAAATTTTTGATTTTTCCTTGACAACGCTATGTAAATTGATCCGAATCAAGTTCGCTATAATTTTCCTGTAATTTTCACGTAAAAATACGTAAGTGTGTCAAATTTGAGCTCTTTATGTCAAAAGATGTGGCCGCTAGGGGGGGGGGGGTACACAGTCATTTTTAGGCATTTTTCGTAAAAATTCATGGTTTTTCCTTGACAACGCTATGTTAATCAATTCCAATCAAGTTCGCTATAATTTTCCTGTAATCTACACGTGAAAATACATATGTGTACTAATTTTCAGCCCTCCAGATAAATTTATATGGGCGCTAGGGGGGGGGGGGTACACGATATCAAAAAAACCGATATTAATAGGGTTCCGAACCGAGTACGGAACCCTAAAAATGAAAACAATACATTATTTTAATGTTGCGGGCGCGAATGTACTTTGCGCCCGCTCACCCCATCTCTGGGCAGGAATCACTTACTTTGCGACCGCCTCAAGTGAATGAAATAACACACTTTCCGTTCAGGTAGGACAAAAAATATTTTAAAAATTTAAATACTTATTTAACACCACAATGTCTCTCAAAACCCAAAAGTTAACGAAAATATGAGACATCATATGTCTTTCTCATATGAAACACACCACCTATACATACGGACTGTGCTACTTTTCATTGATAACTATACATAAATATAATTCTACTTTATTTCTCTCTTAGAATTAACTTGTACACAATTTATGTCTCCCTATCTCAAGCGAAAACTCGGTAGAAGGACCTCCAGAGAACCAGTAAAAAATATACTTTTAGTTTGTTCAAAGGTTTTTTCTTTATAACTACATAAATATAATTTTGCTTTTTTTCCCTCATAGAATTAACTTGTACACAATTTTTGTGGTCCCTTCTCAGGAGAAAACTCGGTAGAAGGACCTCCAGAGAACCAGTGAAAAATATACTTTTAGTTTGTTCAAAGGTTTTTTCTTCATAACTACATAAATATAATTTTGCTTTTTTTCCCTCATAGAATTAACTTGTACACAATTTTTGTGGTCCCTTCTCAGGCGAAAACTCGGTAGAAGGACCTCCAGAGAACCAGTGAAAAATGTACTTTTAGTTTGTTCAAAGGTTTTTTCTTGATTACTACATAAATATAATTTTGCTTTCTTTCCCTCTTAGAATTAACTTGTACACAATTTTTGTGGTCCCTTCTCAGGCGAAAACTCGGTAGAAAGACCTCCAGAGAACCAGTGAAAAATATACTTTTAGTTTGTTCAAAGGTTTTTTCTTGATTACTACATAAATATAATTTTACTTTCTATCCCTCATAGAATTAACTTGTACACAATTTTTGTGGTCCCTTCTCAGGCGAAAACTCGGTAGAAAGACCTCCAGAGAACCAGTGAAAAATATACTTTTAGTTTGTTCAAAGGTTTTTTCTTCATAACTACATAAATATAATTTTGCTTTCTATCCCTCTTAGAATTAACTTGTACACAATTTTTGTGGTCCCTTCTCAGGCGAAAACTCGGTAGAAGGACCTCCAGAGAACCAGTGAAAAATATACTTTTAGTTTGTTCAAAGGTTTTTCCTTCATAACTACATAAATATAATTTTGCTTTCTATCCCTCTTAGAATTAACTTGTACACAATTTTTGTGGTCCCTTCTCAGGCGAAAACTCGGTAGAAGGACCTCCAGAGAACCAGTGAAAAATATACTTTTAGTTTGTTCAAAGGTTTTTCCTTCATAACTACATAAATATAATTTTGCTTTCTATCCCTCTTAGAATTAACTTGTACACAATTTTTGTGGTCCCTTCTCAGGCGAAAACTCGGTAGAAGGACCTCCAGAGAACCAGTGAAAAATATACTTTTAGTTTGTTCAAAGGTTTTTCCTTCATAACTACATAAATATAATTTTGCTTTCTATCCCTCTTAGAATTAACTTGTACACAATTTTTGTGGTCCCTTCTCAGGCGAAAACTCGGTAGAAGGACCTCCAGAGAACCAGTGAAAAATATACTTTTAGTTTGTTCAAAGGTTTTTTCTTCATAACTACATAAATATAATTTTGCTTTCTTTCCCTCTTAGAATTAACTTGTACACAATTTTTGTGGTCTCTTCTTAGGCGAAAACTCGGTAGAAAGACCTCCAGAGAACCAGTGAAAAATACACTTTTTATTTGTTCAAAGGTTTTTTCTTGATTACTGCATAAAAATAATTCTACTTTCTATCCCTCATAGAATTAACTTGTACACAATTTTTGTGGTCCCTTCTCAGGCGAAAACTCGGTAGAAAGCCCTCCAGAGAACCAGTAAAAAATATACTTTTAGTTTGTTCAAAGGTTTTTTCTTCATAACTACATAAATATAATTTTGCTTTCAATCCCTCTTACAATTAACTTGTACACAATTTTTGTCTCCCATTCTCAGGCGAAAACTCGGTAGAAAGACCTCCAGAGAACCAGTGAAAAATATACTTTTAGTTTGTTCAAAGGTTTTTCCTTCATAACTACATAAATATAATTTTG